AACATATTGAAATATGCCAATTATGATATGTTCACACACAAAGCCTGAAGTGTTAAACACAAAAGTTGAAGGAGGATCCTTATGCTGACAAGTTAGCTTAACGTTTTTAGATAAGCTGTGTTGGTTGTTGAGCTGTAAACTGCTGTTTGCCAAGTTTACACTCGACTTTTTTGTCTCTACAGCTAATTTCCTCCTCCATGACGTAGTGTCAGCTCCACACACGCCCCTCCTGTTTGCCCATTTTAATTAGGTTAGGTGGAGTCAAGCACTGCCAAGATGGCAATGGTGGAGCAGCTCACTCTGAGCTTCAAAACTGCACTTCAGAAACCTGTGGGTGACTTTCACGGAGGCTGTGTCCATCTTGATTTTCAGTCTATGGTTTGACTAGAGGGCCATCAAAGACCTGGCTGGGGGGGCTCAGGAGCCCAGCGACTGGTTGTGGCTCCGGAGGAGGGACAGTTTCTGGGGCTCGATTCCCCAATAAGGGCAGCTGCAGGGGGTGACGGGGAGATGTCCCCAAACAGCTACTGTCCCTCCCACCCCGGCAGGGGTCGAAACATCAGTGAACGGTAGCTCCAGCTGACGATCCTGCAACTGACCCAGTATGCACATGCAAAGTTTTGGGGTTCGGAGCCGACCTCGAGTGAACGTTCAGTACAGACCTAAGCCCTGCTTGAAATTCGTATTTCATTATTTGTAGAATTATCTATATAAGTTTGTTTAAAAAGATGAAGAGAAAGTGCAAGAAAGGACAAAAGAAGGAAAAATAATATAATACTGATTATAATTTTTTATCAAATATGGCAGACTCTCTGCTGTAAAAGCCCCCCCAGATAAATTTGACAACAATAGGTACAACATCCTTACACCGGCAGCATCAACGGACCTTATTCTGGGACTTCTGTGGAAAAGCAAGTGGAACTCAGAGATATGAAATGTAATTTCCATATTTAATCATCTAAGTTTTACTCCTTCACTGAATGCGAGTGGGTGTGTTTGCGTGTGTGTGTGTGTGTGTGTGTGTGTGTGTGTGTGTGTGTGTTGTGTGTGTGTGTGTGTGTGTGTGTGTGTGTGTGTGTGTGTGTGTGTGTGTGTGTGTGCGTGCGTGCGTGCGTGCGTGCGTGCGTGCGTGCGTGCGTGCGTGCGTGCGTGCGTGCGTGCGTGTGTGTGTGAAGAAGACCGGAAAGTCTAGCTTTTAGCTTTAAGGGATTTTTGTTTTATTCCTTTCTCCAACCTGTCAGTGACTTGTTGCCATGGTAGCATTAAGACAGAGGAGAAACTCAGTGAGTGTGTTTGTGTGACTGTGTGTGAAGCTGATGGATGAGGCTGCAGTGGCCAGATGTGGTAATTGACACACCCCCTGTCATTTCACTGGCACACACACACACACACACACGCACTGTATTAGCACTTTCACACAAAATATAGATGAAGATGGAAATGTGGAACTGACAAGATAGTAGTCAAATTTAAAAAATGAGTTGTGCCACAAGAACAGTTTTGTGAAAAACGTGATAAAAATGTTTAAACACGTCCATAATTGTGTTTCGACCTTAAATTCCCGTTCAGTCAGTGTAATCTCAGTAAAATGTTGAGAACTTACTGCACTGAGGAGGCATATAAAGTCTCAGTGGTTGATCGTGTATCTGTAAATCTTGGGAATAAACCTGAATTCATCTGTACGCCTCAATACCACAAGGGATAACTAAGCAAATTGTGATATGTGTGAGCTGACCCTTTAAAAGGCATATCTCCCTCTCTCTCGCTCTCTCTCTCTCGCTCTCTCTCGCCCGCTCCCTCTCCCTCTCTTTCTGTCTCTCTCTCAATGTTTTTTTTTTTTTTCAATTCAGTATGCTTTATTGGTATGATTGTCAGACAGCGTTGCCAAAGCGTTACAGACAATATGATAATCATAACAAGAAAAAATACATGTACACACATATAATGTATTAAGTAAAACAGAATGAATCAGTAAAAAGAACAAGAACACTAATCATTATAATCATTGTATAGAAGGCCGACCAAAGTAATTAGTGTTTAGGATTAAGAAAAGAAACAATTAACAACAATATATTGTTACAAAATGGTGAGTATGAGATGTGACATATATAAATGAAAAGGCAGTGTGGGGAGACTGGCTACGGCTGTCATGGGTTTTCGTGCCGTGACATGCTTTAACGTGTCACGCTGCTTCTATGGCGCTGAATTTTTATTCTGGTCACAGAGGGAATCAAAACTTTTAGTTTTTGTTAAAGAACTCGTGTAGCAGGTGTGGCAGGAAATGTCTCTCTGTCTCCACCCGTCTCTGTGGACAGAGCTGACACGGCCTGTCTTCTCTTGGCGACCGGGTCTCGCCTGTGTCGGCCAGTCTCTATGTCCAGGCTGTGATGATTGCGTCTGTACATAGTCGGGGTCTTTCTCAGTGTCTGATCCCTCATGATGGTCACATAGTCTGCTGCTGTGTACTGTCTGTTTACAGCCAAATAACATTAAGGTTTGTCTTGTATTTGTGTGCTCCATGTACAATCACACCAGTTCTGTTGGAGTCTTATACTGTGTGATGCTTATAACAGTCTTATTATGCACCTTGTGGACTGTGAACCACGACTCATGAAAAGCTTGTGTCAAAATTGTGTCGTTTTCATTTTCACATCACACTCATGAACATCTCTGAAACAGCAGACTGCGCAAACATATTGACTAGTAAAGAACTCCATGTAAACAAACAGCTGGATGTTGTTGAACCAGTGAACTTACTGGACATATTCACTTCAGTCTGTTTAACTGGATACAGCAATACAACAAGGATGACACTGATTTAGTTGAACGGGGATTGAAAAACACACACACACACACACACACACACACACTCAGGAATGCTGAGCCAATACCTGTTAAGTCATGTGTGACCAGTAACAGTTAAACCATCTGCTCTGACCTCATTAGACCCATTGTCTTCACTGTGTACTGTAAAGCACACTCACACACACAATAACAAGAAACTAAATCAAACCTAATGCTGAATAATGTTACTGAATCATAATCATTATAGCACTTACGGCTTGTGGATTCATATGATACAATATTTGTCAGTTTCTAACCTTCTCTGCTGTAACTTCTGAAATATTAGTTAGCGTGATAATTAGGAGTGTTTACTCTCTGAGACCTGGAGGGAAGAACGGATAAATGGATGCACAGTAACACATTCACTCATGCAAAGATGAGAACCGATGATGTTCGCATGTGAACAGATACGTAACTTGCACCTGTGAATAAATATTTTACACACACTTGCAAATAGTGCATGACAATAAATGAGAAGGAGCTGTATATATATACAAAAGATAAATAAGTAACAAATAAAAGCATATCAAGCTTATGTTAGATGCAGATAGTCTGACACTCGTGTCTTTAAATATCTTAAATACAAATTGGAAATTCAGACATGCACTCATAAACAATTAATTCACTCACACACATTTTGAGGTAGACCCGGTGATACTAAGAGTAACACTTGTGCTGTGTGCTACATGTTACGTGTTACGTGTCATGCGTTATGTGTGTGTTACACTACTCGCACAAGCACTACTATAGAAAAATTTAACTTTTGCTTTTCCTTTTTTGCTTCTTTGATTGGATTTATTGTGTTGCGTGTTTGGCCTCAAAAATGTTTCCAGATGCTGTTAATATTATTTTACATTATTCATGTGAAAAGCACTGCCTGTTTAAAACACACACACACACACACACACACACACACACACACACACACACAGACACACACACACACACACACACACACACACACACACACACACACACACACACACACACACACACACACACACACACACACACACACACACACACACACACACACACATACATCAATAAGACAGAATTCATGCTGTGCTCTCCGAAAAACAATTTACAAACACATATCCACACATGCACAGAACATCAATAAATGTACACAGAATATAAGGTGTGCACTCATGCATTAACAATGTGTACACACACACACACACACACACACACACACAAATACACACATACCCTCACACTCAGGGTGCTGGAATAAAGTGTGACCTGAGGCCAACCAGTCACGTCTGACCACAGGTTGACCATCTGCCCTCCTTGAGGCTGGACTCATTTAGCAGATGGCGTAACAGCAATACACATTTCTGAATGCATTGTACAGATACACTTTTCCACATCTATAAATCATGACTGCATTAGTGTTATTTTCATACACTGGGGTAACTGGTAGACTCTGCCAGCCTCAGAATTTTACATTGGTTGATTTTCATCAGAAAAGAAAGAGGGTGTTGTTTTCCAACACAAACACGATGGTGCTTCCAGAGTTTCTGGTGACAGCTGATGTAAAAGAAAAAAGGTTTTATAATGAACTTTCAGGTAGTTTTACATTTTCACATCTGTTGTCCTTGAACACTTTCATCTCTTTATCTATCTCACTCCAATTCAAATTCAAAGGTGCTTTATTGGCACAACAGATTTAGCAAGAAAAATGTTGCCAAAAGCATCAAAATGTAATATCCAAAAGTACTAAATACAAAATGCAACAACACCAAGGTTAGGTCTAGGTCAGACCAAGGACTTCAACATTAAAATAAAACTCACAGACCATCTAACTCCTCAAACATCCCCAAAAACCGATAGGGCTTCTACTTCAGTAGTACTGTGGCGAGCTTGCATGTCATCCTCTCTCTCTCTCTCTCTCACTGTGACTATTGTAAAAGGCAAAAAGCCAAAAAAAATAACAAAAAAAAAAAATAAATAAATAATAATGTTTGAATTTACATATGAGTTGATTTATAATAAATTATATTTTAACATTTACTGCCCGACCACAAGGGGTCGCTTTCCACGGACCACTCTTTGAGAAAGGCCGGCCAAGGTCAGTCACTGTCCCTGAGGTTGTTGCGTGTTGATATACTGTATATCATTCAGCAAGCTCTCACTCCCTCTCTCACATCCAGGCACCCTGAACCAGCGCAGCTGGGGTAAGAAGTACCCGTCCTGTAACAGCGCCCGGCAGTCTCCCGTGGACATCGACGAAACGTTTACCCAGGTTCGGCTGCAGTACCAAAACCTGCAACTAGAGGGCTGGGACCAACTGACGGCAGAGTCCAGCACCATTCACAACAATGGGAAGACTGGTATGTTGATGTTTCCCCATGTTTCTCCTTAATGTTCCTTTCCTGCAGTGCCTGGTCTTTAGCATTTTGAGAGGAAGTCTTAACAATGTCACCATAATAAAAAAGACATTTTTTATGTGTTAAATCTAAGTTGCTGAAGCCATGTTAGCAATGCTGTCATACAAGAAATCAAACAACAAGCTTTTTTTCTTGTATTGAGAGATAAGCAACATGTAGGGTTTTTCTTTTTCTTTTCAATCCCAGACAAGAGCTTATTGAAGCAGCAAGCAGAGTAGGAAGCTGCAGTTTGTACTAGATCCTACGAACATGATTGAGACATTATTCTGCTGCTGTAAAACACAACATCTTAATCCCTAGATGTGGAAAGAAGCTTAAGTTTTCAGATCCAAAAAAAAAAAAAATTCACAACCTGGAGGTTAATGAAGAAGAGAAGCAGCGAGGATTTAAAGGAGAAAGAGTCAGACAATGACAGAGAAGAAGACGGAGAGAGCAAGTAATTCAGAGAGAAGCAACCAGAGGGACAGCAGCACAGAGAGATCATGTGGAGAGAGACGGAAGATTGATAGAGATGAAACTGAGCAACAGAAAAAAGGCAGCAAAAAAGCAAGAGTTGTGTAAAATGTGTGTGTGTGTGTGTGTGTGTGTGTGTGTGTGTGTGTGTGTGTGTGTGTGTGTGTGTGTGTGTGTGTGTCATACATACATACATAGATAGAAAGAAGGAGCAGGCGAGAGAAATGTGGATGATGTGAAGGGACAGTGAGAAGAAGAAGAAAGGCAGAGTGTGGACTGAAAAACAAATGAAAAGCTGTCTGAGCTATCTTCACCATCTTTCTAATATCGCCTGGTGTGTGTGTGTGTGTGTGTGTGTGTGTGTGTGTGTGTGTTTGTGTGCGTGCGTGCCCCCTCTATATGTTAATGGTCCTAAAATTGATCTCCCTTTTTCTCTGTGAAGTCAGAGAGGAAATTGCATATTTTAACAGAGATTGCGTAGCTGCCATGTTATTATGAGAGAAATATACAGCGGCTCTGTCTCGCTGCACTGAATGTCCTACAATCAACACAGTGACTGTCACAGAGATGTGTTAAGAAACTGTTATTCAGCATTAATCATTTGGATTTTTTTTTCTTTTTTGTCTTGTTTTTTGCTTTGTTTTTTGATTTACCGCCTCATCAAACAAACTCCAAAATCCTCTACATTTTACACACAGCTATTAGAGCGTGGAGACGTTATTTCAATCCTCTGAAAAGCTATGGGGATTGAAATTAACATAACTTCTGTACTTTTCTAGTGGCCAATGTTTTTAGTTTAAGTCTCCAAATGTGAGATTCCTCACTGATGGAAATATCAGGATATTATTTTCACTTATATTTTGTTTTGTTTCTTCACCTGCAGTCCGCCCACAATCAGGGATGGGAATTGATAAGATTTTATTGATACTAATGCCATTACCATTTCTACTTATTGGTCCGATTCTTAATCGATTTTCTTAACTATTCCTGATCAATTTTCTGTGTGGAAAAAAAAATCTTCAAATATAAAAAAACTGTTTATACTATAACTTGGCTGATTACATGATGGTTACTATTTTGTTGTTATTTACTGAGAGATGTGCATCCATATATCCCAGTATGCCGAGCTAATAAACAATATTTAATCAATAGTCAATGTCAATCCATCTTGCATTCGTCCAGAGTTGTTACTAAACCTTGACTGAGAGACTAAATAATGACTGTCCTGTTTTAAGGTGATGGCTGTTATTAAGTAACAGAACAGCCCTGGAAGTGGGTGGTGAGTGAAAGGCTAGAGACACACAGACAGAGAGCGGCGCACTGTAAGCTAGCACCAACAAGTTGATTGCTGTTCCCTGCAATTCGCTGTGATTGTGTTGTTTTCTCTTTTCATGACCAGAAGGATAGTTCCGCTTCATCCTCTCATCAAAGCTGGAAACACTTACACCAGCTTTCACATGAAAGAGAGGCTGGGTCCTTGCGTAGCTTGCGGAGCCCTATACAACTTGCATCGTGAGCATATAGACCCGCCCGGCTCTGAAAACGTGCAGGCATCAATAAAAGCTCGGTGGCATACGATTCTGATGGTTCAGACAATTTAGATCCAGTTTTTTGATTCCCATCCCAACCCACAATCACTTTTAACCAGCACCCATCATTAAAATATAGTTTTTGCAGGTTACATGTTGGTTTATCTGACCTGGCTATAGGTCTATAGTCTCTGGTCTGGGTTTCCCTGAAAACAGCCTCTAGTCTCCATTAAACTCCCTGCATCTTAAGGCACTTGAACATTAGCTTCATGTTCTTGGTTGTTCCTGAACTGCAGGAAAAAAAAAAACATTTTACAAATCAACCCATCATGTGCATTTTATCGGACCCTCCCATTCTTTGCCACACATCGCCTTTTCAACACGTTGGTTTCCACAAAGGTTAAATTTAAGCGCATGTGTGTGTGTTCTAGTGGCCATTAATGTGGAAGGGGAGTTCTTTGTGAGCGGAGGAGGGCTGAGCTCCAGGTTTCGTGTCAGTAGGATCACCTTCCACTGGGGCCGCTGCAACGCAACGTCAGATGGGTCCGAGCACAGCCTGAATGGGATGAAATACCCTCTGGAGGTAAAGAAAGTGCCCGTTTGTCTCCTCGCCGTTCCTACATGTGTCCACCATTGAAGCCTGAGTTCAGCAAACCTCCCTGTTTCTTGCTCTCATTCAGATGCAGATCTACTGTTACGATCCAGATGACTTTCATAGTCTGGATGATGCGATTAGGGAGGGAGGGAGGGTGGCTGCCTTGGTTGTGCTCTTTGAGGTAGGTCGACGAGTTGGTTTGTGACCCAGTGTTAGGGATCAATCTGTTCCTCCTCAGATAAACTAAAGTAATATGGCAGCTTCCTGTCTGTGAAAGCCACAACAGAATGTCATGTTCTCATCCGCAGATCAGCCTGGACGACAACGAGAACGTTAATCCAGTTGTTGATGCCGTCAACACCGTCAGCAGGTTTGGTAGGTCACTTCTACATAACAAAAATGCAGGTGTAGCTGGGTGCAGATGGTATCATAATACTCTTTAACCTGGAGGGAGTAGATTAACAACACACATTGAACACTGTACAGATTTGTTTTTTTCCAAGTAGAAAACACACTGAAGTAAATTTGATTTGTTATTCATCAGCTAAAATTATAATGGTGTTCAGGAGAATATTTTATTTAAAGGTCCCATATAGTCTAAACGTCTCTGTCCATGTGTTGTTTGATTATAGATCAGGTCTAGGTTCGATATTAATACTGTGAAAGTATCAAAGCCTCAGTCCAAAGAGAAATGCACACAGCCTTTATTCAGAAACTGAACCTTAATACCAACTGTCAGGACTTCTGTAACTTTGTTATGTCACAGCAAAGCAGTCACCACTCTCAGCCATGTCCCCAGCTCCCAGACCCGACATCCAACCTTTTTTTGATGTTGATGTTTTTTCTGAAATGCAGTGTGTCACTCAGAAAACAGTCAGCCAATCAGAAAGTTCAGAGCCTCGAATAAAACACAGGAAAAGTGTAAGTTATGGGACCTAAAATCAACAGAGAGAGCAGCAGAATAATGGTGGTCAGCAGAGCAACTAACAGATAAATCATGATAGTCCTCACATTCATTCTAAATAAGAGTTTGAGACAGTGTGCTCTAATGTCTTTGGTGTTAAAATTGTGGATCAAAGCAGCGTTGTTTCATGCGAAAACACTAGAAATATAATTACCCAAGAAATTGAATCTTGATTCAAGATTGTCATTCAGGGGCGTCGTGTAGCGTAGTGGTTTAAGCAGGCGCCCCATGTGTAGAGGCTACAGTCCTCGCTGCAGTCGGCCCCGGTTCGAATCCCGCATCGGACGGCCTTTCACTGCATGTCATTCCCCCTCTCTCTGCCTCCCCGTTTCCTGTCACTTCTCCACTGTGCTGTCCATTGAAGGCCATAAAAAGCCCAAAAAAAATATACTTTAAAAAAAAGATTGTCATTCAGCTCAGGACATTTTTTTGTTATGATATTTTCTTATTGAGAGTATTGATTTTTTTTTTTTTCTTTGCCAGGTAAGAGCGGGTCATTGGAAGCTTTCACCCTGCGGTCCCTGCTGCCCAACAACACAGATAAATATTACATTTACAATGGTTCCCTGACCGCTCCTCCCTGCTCTGAAACGGTGGAATGGGTCGTCTTCAAACAAACCGTGGCCATATCAGAAACACAGGTCAGTAGGTTTTGACACACACATTCACACAGGTGTCCACTGTGACTAACCAGCGCTCGTTTCCTTCTGAACAGATCAACATCCAGAATCATAAATCCTGTAATAAATAAAAGAGTCGGCTTGAGTCAAATTGGTTTTCATTCACTCGCAGTCATGAAAAAGCTTCTTTTGAAATCGCTGACAGCAGCTACTACGACCAAATGGATGCAGCATTGTGTCTGATGAGAGCTCGCGAGCTTTATGATGCAAATTTTCAATTTTTAATGTCAGACACTCGCAGTCACACTCATGTAGAGCTTTGAAATAATGAAAAAAAGAAAAGTCCATATGGGTTTTTTTGGTGCTGCCTCATGTAAAAGTCATAAAAAAACATCAATGGACGTTGGCTTCAGCGTTCAGTGTAAAAAGACAAACGTCTCCTCATTGCCGCCGGTGGCTGTTGTGTCTGGTTGTAGTCTGTGGCTGGTTTCAGGTCAGCCGTCTTTGACGTGTGTGCACAACAGAAAAACCGAACGTCACACTGAAGTGATGCAATGTGACAGGCTCAGTAAAATGTGAATGTACAGAATAGGGTTTTTGTAGAGGTATAATCTGGCGAAGAAGAAGACGGCCTGCCGCGCAGTGACAACACACACTGACACTGTCGCATTACTGCAGTTTGATTCCAGGCTGAAGACATTTTAGGAGGATCCTCCTTTTGTCTGAGGATGAAATCATCTGTGTAATAACCATCAATTATGTAGCTGAATAATGGAGAGTGGATAAGGTCACGCCACGTGATTGTGTGTGTTCTGTATGTGCATACTTGCGTGTGCGTGTTTGTGTGTGTATGCTTGTGTTTGTCTGTGTTTGCGTGATTGAAACGGGGGTGGTAAGGCACGGGCACTTCGTAGCTAACCAAAAATAGAGCAGTGCTGTCTCTGTGCCGCTGCCTGGCACCAACACAAGCCTCTTAAACACACACACACACACACACACACACACACATACACACACACACACACACACACACACACACATACACACACACACACACACACACACACACACATACACACACACACACACACACACACACACACATACACACACACACACACACACACACACACACTCTCTCACATGTTTCAGTTTCTGGTTTATTTTGGCAACTGCATGGAAAAACAGGAGAAATGCAACAGACACATGTTTCTTTGCCGTCTGTCTGTTCACCCTGTTCTCTGCGTCTTCTGCGTCTGCCTGTCGTCTCACCAGTTGGAGGCGTTTTGTGAGGTGATGACCATGGAGCAGGCCGGGTATGTGATGCTGACAGATTACCTCCAGAACAACTTCAGGGAGCAGCAGCAGCAGTTCATGGGTCAGGTGTTTGCCTCGTACACCGGAGTGGAGGACGTGCTCACACCCAGTACGTCAAGTTTTCTGCTTGTTTGTTTCATTTTAGTTGATTTCTGCCTTTAACTCACAATAATGCAATTCAGTTAATTCATTTAATTTTGCATTCAGTTACTTCACTTCCATATAAAGTTTTTTAATCATAGGAAAACACACTGTACATGTATTTTCATGTTGCTTCTAAATTTCAGAGAGAAATATTTTACTTTTTACTCTTCTACATTTATTTAACAAACGTAGTTACTAGTTTCTATTCAGATTCAGTTCATTCAACTAATTATATACAATATCTGTGATCAGCTTGCAAAATAAGATGCATTAATGGTAAATGGACTGCAACTATATAGAACTTTTCTAGTCATATGGACGACTCAAAGTGCTTTACAGTATAAGCCACATTCACACACACGCGCATACAGCACGTTTTCTATGTATCCTGTGTTTTTCTATCACACACTGATCAAACATTGGGCGCAATTTGGGGTTCAGCATCTGACTGGAGGAGCCAGGAATTGAACCACTGACCTTCCGATTAGTGGACGACCCGCTCCACGTCCTGAACCACAGGCCCCCCGTTGTTACAGATGAAACCACCCAGCAGTGTGTAATGTAGTTAAAAATATCTCCGTCTTGAGCAGCTGCAACATTTAAATGCTACTTAAATAATTAAACAGTAATAAAGTACAGTGAACAGTCACCTTCCAGTCACAGACTAGAGTTGAACCTTCTGTGATGTAATGCTGTACTTCTTGGTACGTTAGGGTCTTCTATGGACTTATGGTGGTCAGTAACAATCATGACCATTTATCTAAATTTAGTTTGTGCTCCCACAGTAATCTGTTAGTGATACAAACAGAATGTGTCTGTAACACGCATGTGTAATATGTTACAGTAAAGACTCAAATACTACTTTAAATCAATAAAGTTTGAGTTTTACATGATGTTTTTTGGCTGGAGAGTGAAGCTTTTTTTATGTGATCAAATTAAGAAAAATCATTGGTTAATTCATTATTTTCATAATTGTTTCATAATGAATCATTTCAGTCATTTATCAGCAGAAATAGAAAAGATACAAAAATTCTTTGGTTAAAAAAACTGAGAGACTTTGCTGCTTTTCTAAGCTGAAGCTTTAGACTGTTGGTCAAACGACACACAATGTCTTAAGATGTCACCTTGGACATTTCATAGACTAAACCATGAATCAATGAACAGATTCATTAATAATGAAAATAATTGTTCGTTGCAACCTTACAAAATAATACCGTACATAAACAAAAACAATCATTTTCTAACAAAATAAGGAAATTATGACCAAAACATGGAATTAGTTATCATCTAATTATTGTATAAAATAACTGATTTCCATTCTCTTATTCTGTTGCTGCTTTAATGCGTCTCTTCCACCTTCGCTCTCAGTTTTCAGTTTTGTTTTGTTTCAGTCTTCTCACTCTCAGTGCCGAGCCTGTTTTGACACAGAGGTTCATCTGACAACTCGCACGTTGGGCTGTGACATGTTTTGAAAAATCCTTCCCTATTAGGCTTTGAAGTGGTCGAGTGTCCTCACCTGTTTAATTTATACCAAATTCTGGACAGTGCGGTGGAGAAAATTCAACCCCCCCTCGGAGCTCAATATAAATTATATTATTCATCTTATTTTTTTCCATGACTGAAAATATTACCCTTCTTCTCCTTCCTCTGCAGCACGATCATCAAAAGATATAATTCAAGACGCTCTCCATCTTCATAAAGTCGCCCCTCTAGTAAAGTGGGTCTTTTGGGTTGCCAGGGAGCTCGACTTTGTAGTTCAGTGCCCCTGCTTCTCTCAGCGCAGGCAATTTATTTTGCTGCTCTTTTTGAAATTGAAATAAAGTATTCAGAAATTCAGAGAAGGGTCTTTTTGCCTGTAACAAATTTGTGATCCCATACACACACACACACACACACACACAGACACACACACACTCAGCTCCCACTCATTGCCACACTCACCTCCTGAATTGGCCTTTTTGAAACGTATTCCTGTTTTCCTCCATTTTCAGTGCAGTTGATTATCATCACGTCACCTTCAGCAGCATTGATTAGATTTAAATGTTTTCCTGCCTCTAAACCGCACAATCTAATAACTCAACTCCTTTCCCGGCCTCCCTCTGTCTGTGCTGCCTCCAGCCTGCAGCTCAGAGCCAGAGAACGTTCAGGCCGACGCCCAGAACGACACCACCATCGTGGTGACGTGGGAGCGTCCCCGCGTGGTTTACGACACCACCATCGACTGGTACACCGTCACCTACCAGAGGCTGCAGGGCCGAGACCAGAGCAAGCAGGAGTACCGGACAGACGGGGACCAGGATGTGGTAGGATGAAGATTTCTCCACCTTCTCCAAGAACCAAACAAAAGCGTCACCTCACAAACGCTCGCTGTTGAATGGATGTAATTTCAATAATTTTGCACCATTATCCACACAGACAGAGGATTTAAGCAGGACTTATAAATAAATAATAGGTATAAGTTACAGTCATTTTGTTAGATTCATCTGCTCTCACTCTCCAGCTCTTACTCGCTGAAAGTGCTGTTGGGCTCTGGATTGATCAAAGTAATCGATTGATTGATAGTAACGATCAATCTTGGCCTCTTAACGGGTCACTTAGTGTCCCTTAATGAGACCAATATTTGTGTGTGTGTATTGACCTCTATATCTGTATATGCGCACACACTCTGCATATATGTAGACTAAGTCATCAATATACAGACCAACCAAGCACAACACAAATGACGGACTGTTGTAAACCTTTTGTTTACACACCTTCTCATGTGCATGTGCATAATCTGTTATTACACATGTAGAGTTTTCAATTCTTATTTCAGTGTTTTTTTATTTTTATTGTAGGTTTGGGTGTTTCATTGTGTGTGTTTTTTATGGTTCTTTATATTGACAAAAGATTACAACTAATAATATTAGATATTTCTTCTAAAATCGAATCATCGAATAAGAAGCGACAAGGACAATAATTATTTATTATTTTAAGATTTGTAAACAATGATAATGCAGTTATAACGAGTTTATGACTGGAGTCAATATCAATGCATTTATGCTCTCAAGTTCATGTTATAAAAATACTGGAAAAAAAGCATGAAGAGGCTTTTTCACACCATAGTTATTTGCATTTGTTCTATACAAATACATCATCATTGGTGATTATGGGAAAACTTTCAGTAACCTGTTCTGAAGAGAATTAAACATTGGCATATTAAGAGTTCTAAAGGGTAAACAGGAAGTCACCATTAAGAACTATTGTTCTGTAATTTGTAAATTTGTATTGAAATTGAAAAGAAATTTCATAGTAGAAATATATTTCAATCTGTGATTCCCAGCCAGGTTGACATGTGCTTCTGCAGGAAGATGAAAACATTGTGGAGTAAAAATAGAATTTTATGACTCTCTAAAAATTTGGAGGAAAATAAACATGTAAATATGATTACAAATCACCATGATGCCAATCTTTAGTTTATTTATTTTCCCAATAATCAATAGACCAGCACCTGTGATGAGGTGTCTGACAGGACACTCGTAGTCGTAATATCTGAACTCCACCTGCAGTGATTGAGAGAGCATGAAAACCAGTGAGAAGTCAAGCAGAGAAATAGATATTAGATACTTAAATGTGCTAAATTAATGGTTGAAATGTCGAGTACTGCCACTCCATGTGGTCGTAGTACAAATGAAAACTTCATCAAATCTACTGAAAAAAAAAAAATCCTCTCTCTTTCTGCTTAATAGTGTGAAATAACATCCAGTTCAAAATTGATTCAAATGAAAGACTTTGCAACAAGAGAGGTGATGATGAAGGAGTGCTTGACAGGTGTCATACGAAAACAGGTTTGGAGCCACTAATTTAAACTCACCTGTGACTTCATAGGGTGCCATCATTTCCAGCCTGCTGGCCAACAGCAGCTACGTGGTTCAGGTGGTGGCTATTTGTACCAACGGACTGAGAGGACGATGGAGCGACCAGATTATAGTGGACATGCCGCTGGAAGACCCTGGTACACATACACACACACACACACACACACACACACACACACACACACACACATACAAACTGGTACAAAGTAAGAGTGAGTATTTTAACTTCTAAGTGTTTATTTGTGTCCTCTCTGTAGAAAGTGATTCGGATCCTGACGCAGGCACAAAAGATTTGGACGGCAACAGGGAGGTAGGGCAGTCTGTGTGTGTGGTTTCACCTGACACCACTCTGCATGTTGGTATTCAATCATATCATTGAGACTAATTATTATGCAAATGGTTGTAATTATGTCAGTAGAGGCTCGTCGTTGAGCGGTACCAAAGTTTATGAGGGGACTGTTCAGCATGTTTAGGAGAGATTAAAAAAAGCAATGAAACACCAGTGCAGACTCTGCTCTTCCAAACAGCATTAATGTAAATGACTTTATATGTCTTCAGATAATTGAAGAAGCAAACAAGACAACTGCACCACCATTTTGGCTTTGGTCGAATGTTCATATTCACTAAAAATCCTTGATTCTTCTGTGACGTCTGTCCTTCATAATCATGTACAATATGTAACTGAAGATCTGGTGACACAGCCTCACACAGCAGTGCTTCTTCCCTCCTGGCAGTTCTCGTCTAAATCCAGATGGGGGAAGCCTGAGAACCAAAATCAGGTGGATTTGTCTCCAGAGGACCACAGCCCTGTGGAGGAGATCCCACTGGAGCAGACCAGAGTTTACCAGAACCAGCCTACACGCCACCAGGACCAACCGAGAGACCAAACCCAAGCGAACCAGAACATCCCGGTCCAGTTCAGCACCCGTTCAACCCCAAAGCCTTCCTCTGATTCTGCAGTTCTGCAGAAAACTCGACTCAACCAGACTGTGAAAAAGAAACCAGGCCGAAACAGGTCTAAACCAGATGATATGGATCAGAACTGGATTGATGAGGACAGGAGGATCCCAGCACACCGGACCTTTACTAATGCGGGTTTTGACAGCAATGGTGCGATCTGGGTAACTGAGGTAACTGAACAGCCGGGCTTCCTGTTTCCAGTCGCTCGGACCACGACGCTGCCGACGATCCACAGACAGATCACAGAAGAGGCTTCACTGGCAGTGCTGCCACATCAGGTACTTTACTTGACCCTCCTTTGAAACCCGATTAAATTTGATGCCTAATGTTGAAACAAACAATTAGTTTACAAAATGTACTGCAGTGTTTGTTGTAGTAAGTTCTAAATACCAGACTAGTATGTTTTAATTCAAGCTTGTCCAGAGTTTTGTCTCTTGTTCTTGTAGTTTCTTCATGTAAGAACCCACAGTCTGTTTTTATCCACTGTCTCGTTCACTCACAGTCAAGGGATCCCATTCCACCAGACCAAGCTGGTGAAAGTGGCCTCCCCTCTGCCCAGTCCGAGCTCTACACCCCTCCTGTGGAGGAAATCCAGGTCACAGATATCTTCTATGAAGACACAGTCAACAACTTCCCATCGGACACCACCACCACCTCGGCTGCATCAGAGTATCCTGCCGCTGTGCTGCCAGGTCAGATTTACGGGAAGAGATTTTTCTTTTTTGGCAGTCTTGTTTACCCAAAACGTCTTGGGTTGGTGAGCTACTCTTCATCCAATGCTGGGGAGGAATACTAAGAGGATGAATAATGTCTTGATTGTGTGTTTTTATACTTTTTATAGTTGTGATTGAAACATATCTTTTTAAAAAGGTTCTGTAAGCGATTGTCACTGCCACTAGATGTCGCACTAGAACACCAGCATTTCAGATCAAAACAAACGCTTTGTCTGCCATACATCTGGCCTCCCTTCCACACATGTTAGCAAGTTAGCTAACGTTATCATGTCTACTGTAGCCAGTCAGAGATGAAAACAGACATGTAACATTATGCCATCAACTTATTTACGCATGGAGGAGAAGAAAAGTCAGTTCTGAGTCAAGCTGGACCCTTAAGCAGCACGTAAGGCTCTCCATCTCGAAAAAGCCAAATCAGTATTGACTCCAGGGTCAGACTGGGAAAGAAATTCGGCCTTGGACACTGGGACTGGCCGCATAAATGACACTGACAGAGCCAGTAAACACTTTGGATGTTTTGACAGGTTACCAGCCGAGAGGGATTTGAGCCGGTCATCCCCATGGCTAGTCCACTGGTCCCTGTGTGTTTATAAACATAGGGAGGCCCAATGGTTTAACAGGAGGGACACACACACGCTAACATGCATGTGCTGCCAGAAACACAGACCAGAGAAACTCAGATTACAACACATTCAATGTGACTTCATTCTCTGCTCAGGACGCCATTACTCCACTATATCTTTACATATAAAGTAGTCATTTGCTGCCATATCATTGTTGAAAATCTTGTTTACAGAACCTTTGAATTTTAATTTATGATTTTTTAAATTGTTTTCAAATTAATAATATCAAAAGCTACTGCTGTTACTTTATATAAGCTCAGATAACTTCAGTTAACTGAGTTGTTGTCATTATACTGTAGGTAATGGCTGTGAATGGCTGTTCAATTTTAGTCTGTTTAAGTTTGTTTCAAAAGCTTGGAGAAGAAAACAATAATTAGTATTCACTCTGTTTTCTCCTGTTTTTCAATACATGATATAAGTGATTCATGAATTTAGTTGTAGATATCAAGATCTTAAAATGTGAAAAGTTACTTTCTTTTGTAGTATTTTTGTAGTAATTGAAAAAGTGTATATGCTGTATTCCAGTAAGCTGGTGCAGGCTTACATTATTCATTAACAAAAATGTAATCCATTCATATGACTCATGTGATGTGATATGTCATTACGTCATTTCACATGACATCCCACATGACATCATCATTGCACTTCAGGTCATCTGACATATCAGGTCACCTCATGCCACACATCCTGTTTTGACATCAAGCTGTGGCCTTATCATGTCATAACATGAGGACTCCTGTCATGTTATGTCGTGTGATGTCGTGTGATGTCGTGTGATGTCGTGTGATGTCGTGTGATGTCGTGTGATGTCGTGTGATGTCGCGACACTGCCTAACAGGTCACGTCGCGCAGCATCACGTCATGTCACCACTGTTTCCATTTTGTCCCACAGGTGAAAAAGTGGACAGAGTCTCCCTGCCATCCTCTGAAGACGGCGACGCCCCTGTGAACAAACCCGTCCCAGAAACGCTCGATTCAGTTTCCTCCTCCCCCTCCTCCCTCTGGATCACAGCACGGGCGGCGACTCCCAGCAACACCCTCGCCGAATCGGTCTACAAAACATTCACCACCTCCTCTCTCCTCAGGGTGCTGATGCACACGACGCAGCCCATGTTCACCGGTAAGACAACACAACCTCTCTAGAAATATATCTCATATGTGAAAATATAAAAGATATACTTCTACTTCTTGTGAAAAGTGTGAATTAGGGATTTACACAACTGAACGGGGCAAATACATGTTCTCTGGTGCTGGTATAGAGCTGGACTTAATTGCGGTGGATGATTGCCTTTTCTCCTCTAATTCGGCTAATCACTGCTGTCCTCTGTGATCATGGTGGCATTTTGTGTAGTGGCATGATGTTCATAATGGCGATGGTGGTGGCTGATGGTGGTAATGATGATGGCTAAAAAGAAGAAGGCCTTGCGTTGATGGTGATTAGAGTGATAATCAGCGGCTTCCTCGCTCTCTGAACTGGCTCAGAAATGAAATAAGCTTGACTCCTCTTCAAATCTGTCACCACTTTACGACTCCACATGAGGTCAAATTTCTCTGGGTTTTGTTTAAACCACTTGAATCCACTCAAGCTTGGTGATTAGCATCTACATCTGGGATTCATCTGTCTTCATTCTGGGTCTGCATTCTTTTCTGTGGCTGAAGGGCGCCCTCTGGTGGCTGTTTCTTTTTCCTCTGTCCTTACAGAAAGCAGGATTCACAATAACTTCCAATTCTTGGCTCTCTTCTTGCACATTCTGCACAGTGTGAGCATGAGGTTGACGACAAACTCTACCTTTGCTGAGTCAAGACTCTTCACTTCCATCTGAATTTCATGACTTCATTCAAACTGTCACCGTATCTGGTAACTCGGTTCCTATCTTTTCTCTTTCCTCGCATGAAAAACACGTTTTGAAAGGACACATTTCAATGCCTTGGGGGTCCTGGAAGAGTTTGTTTTTTTTTCAGACTTTGACTTTTATTGCAGCGAACATGCCCACGTCCAGGTCTGAGGACTCTGAGGACCTCTCCTCCGGTCTAATGAATTCTCCCGATACTTCCAGTGGAGCGATGGTCCACCCTGCAGACCCTGTACTCTCTGTCCCAGGAGGAGGATTCTCTGCCAAAGAAGATTTATTCAGTTCACCACCTCCATCACTCAACCCCTTCAGTGAATACACCAGCAGCTATCGTCCTTCTCCTGCCCTCCCTGAAGAGAGGAGGAGTGGTGTTAACTTTCATCATAATGACATTTCATCTGAGGAGCACTCTGCACTCCGTCTACAAACAGATTTAGAGCGCCCTCAGATTTCTACCACTTTGACTTTTCAAGATCACTTAAGTGCTGCGTACTCTCCTTCCCTGCTGCCTCATTATGACTTGAGGACCATCAGCTTATCAAAAACAAACTCTGCTGAGGGAAATACCTCAGCAGATTCTCAAAGCGACGGTAGGATTCAAGATGGTCTGATCATCTCTCCCGAGCCTGACAATGACGAGGAAGCCATGACGGCTGGACATAAAGACGACCACAGCTCCGGCTCAGTCACATCTTTCTTTGACTCTGAAGATTTGGATTTGTCAGACAGAGCAACAGGCAGTGGATCAGGCTCTGGCCTTGATAGTAAAAGGCTCAATAGGGACTTTGATGGAGTCGCTATAATCAGGACTGACCTTTCTACTCTTCCAAGCTTAACTGTGAGCTTCAGGGTGGATGATACTGGGGAAAAGAGTAGATCAACTCTGACTAAGACGGCCGCTGAAACAGAGAACGAGGCAACAAGAAACGTAAAAGGTGAAACAGAGGCAGAGAAAGAGATAGCAGAGAATGAAAGGGAGCTAAGTCATGAGGAAGGAGGAGGAGGAATAAATAAGATTGGGAATGAAGGAGTGAGAAAAGTGGATGGAGAAACAGAGGAGAGTGCCAGACAGCTTAAAAGCACAGCAGGCTGTGACATGCTGAAAGAAAAAGAGAGAGAAACTGTAGTAGGAGAGACGACGTACGCTGAGACCGGCAGTGGAGCTGAAACCAGTGAGTCCAGTTTTAGAGTTTTTAGCTGGACTGAGGACATGAGTGGCTCTGGAGAGGGTGGCGGAGACAGAGGGGATGATGGGAAAGGAAAAGGAGAGAAAGACAAAGATGAAGAAGAGGATATCAAAGCTGTAGCTGACAAGGAAGGTGGTGGCAAAAGTGATGCAAGGAGAGAAGAAGTTGCGTTTGGAAGAAGAGATGGTCTGCAGCTGCATGTCAGTCCAAATAAACCTGAAGCAGAGTTCCCGCTGTCTGACAGCAGTGAAGATAATAGCAGCGGTGGCGGTGGCGGCGGTGATGGACACGATGAAGAGGATAAGAACACAAGTCTTGACAGTCCAGTCGTCGAGGGTAACTCCACTGTCGAGGAAGACGGTGATGGTAAAAGAGATGTGGGTACAGAGAGCACGGAGCACGTAGGAGGAGGAGGTAAAGAGGAAAGTGAGGCAGACAAGTCGTTGTTTGATGCTGAGAGAAGTCCTGTGTTGAGACGCCTGGTCCCTCTGCTCAGACCGACAGACATCAACAAGGTCATGGAGGAACAAATGGAAGGTAAATGTTGCACATTGTGTCACCACAGCCTCTTTGATAAAATGTGACATGGCGGTTCAGCTTTTCCTTCTCAGATACTGTCTATACATGTAACTTAAAGGCCTAACCTACAAAGTTTGAGTACGGTCACAGTCTTTGTTTTTACAATTTAGCGCTGATAGCAGTCGCTAATCATGTTACATACTGAGTTTGTATATTTATTGAAAACAACCGTGTTATTGCTGTTGGGAAAACAAGCCCTTAAAGCTGCAATAAAAAATATTTTACACTTTTTACAACAGAGGATGAAGTGACTATGTGCAATGTGAAAGTGGCCACCTGTAGTGGTAAACACAAAGAATTATCATCTGACTCTGCCTGACTCAGCTCTTGTTTTGGTTTTATGATGTCATTGTCCCGCGTAGTACCAAACAGAAGTGCTGTGTCTTATATCAGATACTTCAGTCAGCACACTCACATGTAGTACAACAGTAGGGATGCCCCGATCATGTTTTTCTGCCGCTGATACCGATCATCTGTGAGTGAGATCGGCCGATTCCGATCATTTTTGACATGCATCTCAGATACTGTACATTATATCCGTCTCACACACTGTGTAAAAGCTCCACGCGGCCGACATGTTTTGTTTTGGTGACCTGTCATGCGCCGGCGTACTGAACAAGGTGGGAGGCGGGACTACACCACACAGAGTAGTGTATTAACCACAGGTGATCGGTTACTAGAAGCATTAATACTGTAATCACATATTTATAATGAAAACCGGCCGATCAATCAGGGCAGCCCTACTACACAGAGCACTGGTGCCGTTGTGCACTCACCTGAAATGACGATTGCATCACATGACAGCGATTGACGACCACCTGCCGGCTGCTTTGATCACTTGACTTCAAAATGAACATGTTAATTTCCTGTGTGTGGCCCCTGTGTCATGCCACGTGGAAATCACACTGCCATCGGCCGTTTACTGTCGCTGTTTTCATAAGTTTTGAAAATACACTGGTTGTCCCTCCCCTTCCGCTACATAGCCAAGATGGCGACCGTTGAGGGTGAGAAGTGTCCATTGTGCTACACTCACCTTTTTGACCGTTTTGAGTGCAACATCCGGGTACTTACAGTGCACTGCATGGTGCCATACTTGTCAATGTGAACGCACTTCAGCACTCAAGGCAGCAAGTGTGAGTGTGGAAGTACATGAGTTGAGACACAGCAACAGACTAAGTTAGCAGCTCCACACAGTGGAGCAAAAGAATGCTAATGTTGCTCCATGTCTGCTGGATGTGTCATTGTCGCTGCTAACACGTTTGCCATATGAACCTAATAAGGAGATGATATGTGCATGTTGTGTTTACAGCTAATTGTGCTGCACCCAAGTCGCCACTACACAGTTGGTGCAGGTTTAACATGTGACCGATGACTTCGGGGAAGATGGAAAAAAGCTAAATCATAGCCTTCTTTCTTTCCCCCCTTTTCTCTCTGCCTCTCACCCACCACACCCCACCCCTCTCATGTTCGTCTCCCTCCTCTCACTCAGAGGGCAGCAACAGCAGTCATGAGTCTCGGGTCGGGCTGGTCGGAGGCCTGGAGAGGGAGAAGAGGACGGTTGTTCCTCTGGCTGTCGTCTCCACTCTCACCATCCTCTGTCTGATGGTACTGGTGGGCATACTCATCTACTGGAGGTATACACACACACACACACACACACACACACACAGACAGACAGCAAAGGCCAGTATCTTTCTCCATCACTTTTACCTTTGTAATTAATTTAGATTCTTTTTTTTTTGGCACAGAATACCGTCCAGTAGTATGAGTATGGCCCACAGTAGCCATCAGACAGAAGGATGGTTGAGAGTGGAGACGACAAAGCCAGAGGAACAACCGTCCTCTCCTCCACTCTGCCAAGGCCTCCGACCAAGCCCGACTCGAGGGACTCAATGAAACTGCTTGTTGCCTGCCCCTTTGAGTGAGAGGGGGAAGACGGAACATGAGAGGGGTGGCGGTTGTGGGTGGTAGAGGCAGAAGAAAAGGGGGAAAAGAAGAAGGCTATATGATTTTAGCTGTTTTTCAATCTTCCGGCCGAAGTCATTCGGTCAACATGGTTAAACCCTGACCAAAACTGTGTAAGTTGGCGACTGGGTGCAGACAATTTAGCTGTATAACAAAGCATGCACATATCATCTCGCTTATTAGGTTCATATGGGCAAACGTCTTAGCAGCAGACAATTGACAACTAGTCTTATTGTTGCCTGTGTCCTCAATCATGTAGCTTTCCACAGCTCACAGCTGCTGGCCTTGAGTGCTGAAGGCTTCACATTGACGTAGGTATGGCACGCATTGCGTGGCACTGTAAGTACTCCGAGATGTTGCACATAGGGCCCAAAAGGGTCAAAAAAGTGAGTGTAGAACAAATCGACACTTCTCAACGCGGATACACGGTCGCATCGTTGGCTATGTAAGCCGGAGGGGAGGGACAACCGTGTATTTTCAAAACTTTATGAAACAGCGACAGTAAACGGCCGATGGCAGTGTGATTTCGCACGTGGCACTGACACACCCAGGGGCCCGGCACATCAGGAAATTAACGATGTTGCATATTTGAAGGTGCTCAAGTGATCAAAAAGCAGACGTCGGCCAGTGGTCGGTCAATCCGGCTGTCAATGTGATGGCAATCCGTGTCATTCAAGGTGATAGTGGCACACGCAGCCAGTTGCTCTGTTGTAGAGGGCTGCCCTGATTGATCGAG